AAAACGCAGACGCTGCCTTCTCGGGGTCCCAGAGGTGGGGGCGCCGGGGAGCAGCCCCCGCCTCCCAGTGCCCGCTCCACGCCCCTGCCTGGCCCCCCAGGCTCCCCACGCTCCTCCGGGGGGACTCCCTTGCACTCGCCCCTGCACACGCCCCGGGCCAGCCCTACTGGGACCCCGGGGACAACGCCGCCTCCCAGCCCTGGCGGTGGCGTCGGGGGAGCTGCATGGAGGAGTCGTCTCAACTCCATCCGCAACAGCTTCCTGGGCTCCCCTCGCTTTCACCGGCGCAAGATGCAGGGTACGAGGTCCCTGGGGGGGCGGGGGCTGGGAGGTAGACTCCGGGGTCCAAATGGAGGAACACGGCTAGGGGCTAACATCTGGGTTCAGGGAGTATGGGAGTGAGTCCTGGATTCCCCATCCTAGGATGAGATGGGGTCGTGAGCAGAGATGCAGGTATTGGGAAGAGAGGAAGTGGGCCCCCCTTCTGAAGGACAGAACCCCTACGGAGCTCTGGTGCACCTTCCTATTGGCTCATGGCAAGAAAGCCCCACCCCTAGAGGGTGTGGCCTAGTGGGCGGGCAGCATCCCTGCAAGGACTATTAGGCTGCTTGCCCTTTGGGATTTAGCTCCTGGGCTGGGTGAGTAGGCACTGGGTCTGGACCCCCTGGTTGGAGGCGACTGCTGGCCTGTGTGCTGCTGATGAGGATGATGGACAAGCGTTGACCATGCTCTCCCCTCCCCAGTCCCCACCGCCGAGGAGATGTCCAGCTTGACGCCAGAGTCCTCTCCAGAGTGAGTGAGACAGGGCAAGGAAGAGAAAGGATGGACGGGGGGTTTCGTTCCCTTAGCCCCCTCCTGACCCTCCTCCTTAACCATTCCCTCCTACTCAGACTGGCAAAACGCTCCTGGTTCGGGAACTTCATCTCCTTGGACAAAGAGGAACAAATATTCCTCGTGCTAAAGGACAAACCGCTCAGTAGTATCAAAGCGGACATCGTCCATGCCTTCCTGTCGGTGAGGGGCCTGGGTCCCCACGCCCCCTGGCCGCCACAGAATGACAGTTCGCAGCCACCCCTGGGATTCACCACCTTGGCACTGGCCTGGCTTCCTCCTTGGGCTCGTGGGATTTGTAGTTTTCCAGCCAGAGTTAGGTTTGGTCATTGCAAGGGCAGGGAGGCAGAAGTTTGTTGTGCCTTGGGGCCAGGAAGTGGTAAAATAGGATCCTGAGTTACAATTCCCCACATGCTAGTGGCCCCTGAAGACTGGCGAGTTGACATTCCCTTACTATTACGTTGGGAATCAGTTATTCAGCCATTTAGCCAAAATAGCCTGTTCATGGTAGGATGGAAAACTACAAATCCCAGTGGGCAATGGGGCTTTCTGATGTCTTTCCTTATTCTGTCTGCCCCAGTGGCTGATGGGACTTGTAGTTCCTTGGGCAAAGGCCGCTGTGAGGTTGGGTATCCATTGTCTCTGGAGTTACTCCCTCCTGGTGTTCCCCGCCTCTCTCAGATCCCCAGCCTGAGTCACAGTGTGCTGTCACAGACCAGCTTCAGGGCCGAGTACAAGGCCAGTGGTGGCCCCTCCGTCTTCCAGAAGCCCGTCCGCTTCCAGGTGGACATCAGCTCCTCTGAGGGGCCAGAGCCCTCCCCGCGACGGGATGGCGGTGGCGGCGGCGGCGGCATCTACTCTGTCACCTTTACTCTCATCTCCGGTAAGTTTCCCTGGACTAGACTGGCCCCAGTCTGGCGTTTAGGGTGCTCACAACGGCTGAGATCGGGTCGCAGCCCAGGAGGGTTGCCCGGGGGAGGAGGAAAGAGCGCTCAGTTGGGCCCGACTGTGTGAGCCCCCTGCTCACTCAGACCCCCACCTCCTCTCTCGCCCCCTTTTCTCATTCATTTAGCCTGGTAACACAGTGTTTACAACGTGTCCAGTGGTTTCCTCGACCTATTTCCTTTGATGTGTTAGTAACCACCCACTGGAGAGGAAAACTGGGTTCTGAAGGGGTAAATGGGCTTGACCAGAGTCACGCTGCACACTGTGACAGAGCTGGGCTCGCCGTAGGCCTCCTGACCTCGCCGCACAGAGCTCTTCCTCCCACTTCAGGACTGTGTGTCCGAAGAGCAAAGCCCTCCCGGGCTGCTCCCAGGCCATTCCTCCCTCCTGCCCGCGCCCCCCCAGCCCCCACCCAGAGCAGACATCGCCAATCAATCACAGCACCTCCTCCTGCAAGCTCAGCCCTAGCCTCAGACTCCAAGCAGCCTTGACCAATCACGAGTCGGCACAAGAGATGAGAATCACAGAAATGGAAACAGAAATGCTTGTTTCCAATTCTGCGTGGGTCCTGAGTCCTGAAAACAAGAGCGTGAAGGATGAGGGATCCTCCTGTTTGCTGTCCTTTTCACCAGTCTTAGTACGTCACAACTGGGAGACGAGCCCGCTCCCAGAGTTTCTAAGCCAGGCTGCTGTGGAACTTTGGGGTGTCACATCACCAAAATGGATTACGGCTCTTATTTTTCTTCCTTAGAGACTAATAGGCAGAAGGCTCTCAATTTTAAGATTTGTTTCCCCTCCCATTAATTTCTTTTACATCTGTGCCTCTTCATGGCCTCCACTAGAGACTAACGAGTAACAGAACCTATTTAAATGGAAAACAACACCCCTCGTCATTGTTAAGTCCAACATTTCTTAGCTCCACCCTCAAACCAGGGATTGATGTGTGGCCCCAACCCGGGGCGGGGGGCGTGGGGCGGACATTGAGACCAAGAGAAGGAGCATCCTTTGCTGGGTGGAGGGACCGGGTTCCACAGTGCGGGAGGTCCTTCCCTGTCCCTGTCCGTCCCCAAGACCTTCTGTTTCCCTGCCCCTTGCAGGTCCCAGCCGTCGATTCAAGCGCGTCGTGGAGACCATCCAGGCACAGCTACTGAGCACTCACGACCAGCCCTCCGTGCAGGCCCTGGCAGGTGGGAGGCCGGGGTGCAGGGCCGTCTCACCTTCTGTCCTGTGGTGGGGGGGCACTTCCTAGTGACCGAGTACCGCAGCATTTGGTTTGCAGGGGAGGCCGGAGCTGTGGGGAAGCACAGCCCACCTGTTGCTGCGTTGAGGCCTCACCTGCAGAGTGGCGAGCAGGTTCCGGGAGAAGCGGCGGCCCTTGCGGCTCTGCGGGCTGCCTATCAAGGGCTCGGGCTTGCCTGGCCGCGGAGCGCATGCTCCTTGCTCCCGGGGATGGGACTTCCTGGATGCTAGCCTCGTTGTCAGGAAGCAGGCTTCCCTAGCAATCAGGGAGAACCAGAATTCCTAAGTGAAAAGAGGTCCCGCTCAGCCCCACTCCTGAGATAGGGTGGGAAATAGAATGTATCTGTTTCATTCGCCCGGGTGAAACAGAGCAGGCAAATGGGACCCAGCCGTGAGGGCAGGAGCCTGGGCACCCTCGTCACCCAAGGTCAATTCCCAGGGTCGACTCTACTTGGAGCAGTGGTTCCAGGCCACGGTCAGAAACGACAGGGCTGATATCAAGGTGTGCAGACAGCCAGGCCACGCTCCCTCCTGGAGGCCGGGGTCTGGGGGTGTCTGCTTCTGCCTTCCCAGAGGCCACAGGTCCGCATTCCTTTGCTTCTGTCCCATCTTCACAGCTGGTGACACAACGCCTCCTGGAGGGTCACATCTCGCTTTGACGCTCCTCTTACCTGGGAAGGGTTCTTTTAGGGACCCACCCAGATAATCCTGCCGGGCCTGTCTGCCCTGGGGCAACCAGAATTCAAGTTCGGTCCCTTGAACCTTTCTAAACCCGGTTGCCAAAGAAAGCGGGCTTTAGCAACCACGGTTCCCAAAAGGGTACACCCTTGAAGACAAAGGACCAACAGGCACCTGCGGCCTTAGCCACGTGTCTTATAAAGTGGAAGGGGGCAGGGGGTGACCTCCAGTCCACCTAAGGAGGGGAGAAGGGAGAGACGTATTGGTTGCTGAGACAACAAGGACTCCAGCAATCAGTGACTCTTAAGGGGGCAGGTCCCTGCTAGGGGACCTCAGGTACTGTTCCGGGCCCTGTAGAAATTGCTAGCTGAACACTGCAACCTCAGTCCCCCGGTCTGGGGAAGCACGGCCCCACAAAAAGACAATTCCAGTCAGGCAGGCCCAACTGGAAGGGCCCAAGACCCCCAAACAACCTGCTGTAGGCACTCTGGCCCCATGACCAAGGAGCGGCCCCCTAGCCACCAGGGGAGTGGGAGGAAAGGAGGGACCCTCTGGCTGCGACCTGGGTACTCAGATCTCATCTGTTGCCACACAAGCTGTCCCTTAGCAAACAGTGCCATAACCAGAGTCTCTGAGAATGTCTCCTGAAGTCGTAGGACCAGGTCTGCCTCAAACGTGGCCGGGTTACCAGAGCCACAAGGGCCAGCGGGGCTAGGATGTATGCGACCTGCTCTAGGGTTGCCAGGCCTGATTGCTCCCATGCGTCCCCCTGGCAGCCGTGCTCCCCTGGGGTGCGGCAGCCGTGGGGTTACCAGGGCCACCGGATAGCAGGAGGCTCCACGCTGTCCCCGTGGCCCCACAGCCCATGCCAGACGGCTTTCCTCCTGACAGATGAGAAGAATGGGGCCCAGACCCGGACGGCTGGTACCCCACCCCGAAGCCTGCAGCCCCCGCCCGGCCGCCCCGACCCAGAGCTGACCGGCTCTCCCCGCCGCGGCCCCCCCAAGGACAAGAAGCTCCTGGCCACCAACGGGACCCCTCTGCCCTGACCCCAGGGGGCCAGGGAAGGAGGGGCGCCCCCTCCACCCCCCTTTCCTGCCCCCCAACTGTGAATCTGTAAATAGGGCCCAAGGAGTACACAGGGAGGGGGACACACAACAAACCCAGCCTGGCCCTGCAGGGATGGGGCTCGAGGGGCCGGGCCCAATGGGGTTGGGGGGTGGTTCTAGGGGGGACAGGGGGTGGGAGCTGTTTCTATTTTATTTATTGATTAATTTATTATTTTATTTATTGATCAATCTCTCTGCGGGATGGGGTGGGGGAGGGATGGGGTCTGGTTGGGGTGGCTTAGCAGATCCGGACGGACAGGGCCATCTGTCCTTGTGTCATCCCCAACTTCCCCTTCCTGGGCCCCCCTTCCCGGATCCTCCCCCTCCCCCCATGACCTTCTGTACGGATTTGCTCTCCGGAAGGAATTCTGGTTTCGCGTGATCCTGCCTGCGTCCGTGTCTCTGATTCCGCCAGCGGCAAAAACAAAAACCAAAACCAAGAGTTAATAATAACAATAATAAATAGCCTTGATCAGGGATGGCTGGCTGGCCGTGGCCTCTCGCTTCCTGGGTGGCCCTTGAGTGCAGGGGCGGGGCCAGACAGCAGGGGCGCAAGGACACAATGATGCCAGTCGACCCGTTTGTTTTCAGCCGCGCCACACTGTGCACCACTAGGTTCCAGGCGCGGCAGAGACGACACGTTCTTTAAAGTTCATCCTCGGCGGCTCATCCCTGGACGTCCGTCCCCAGTGGTTCATCCCCCGTGGTCCATCTCGGGGGTGTGGAGGGGTCCCGGGATGGGCTCCTTCTTCTCCTCCTGCCCGTGCGGGCAAGGCCTGGGTCAGAACGGCTGGGTCACCTGGGGCTCCGCAGAGGCGGGGGAGGCCGGCGGGAGGCTGAGGTTGGGGCCCGGCTGGAGACACAGGGTGCAGCTGTGCAGCAGGGAGAAGTCCACGGCCAAGAGGCCGAAGAGCACGAAGAGCAGCATGGCGACTGCCCACTCGCAGATGGCAGCGGCGGAGCGCCACCGGCTGGTGTGGAGGATGACCACTGGGCGCCAAGGTCAAGGGCACACCGGCACAGGAGGACCCGGGAGCCCGCCGCATGCCCTGTGGCTGGCGGCAGGCGAGGCCATGTCTGGGGACCCTCCGGGGGCATGTTCCCCCTGCCCTGACGGGCATGACTTCACAGGCGGCTCGCCCGCCTTGATGGCTCCCCGACACTGGCAAAGGGATGCCCTCTAGTCCCGTCTGCATCTCAAGCGGTTTCCCAGATAATTTCCCCGGCCTGTCCCTTCTGATCCGGGGGCGTTCCCAACACCCTGGAACATGGTTCTCCCATCAGCCTCCCCTGACCTCGTGAAGGCTCCGCTATGCCCCTACCGGCGTGGTACAGACAACCAGGCGTGTTGCTTCTACCTCCAAACACGACACGCAGGGGCTCCTGAAAACACGCTCCGCCCTCTGGGCCTGGCTGGTGTGGCTCAGTGGGCCGAGTGCCGGCCTTCGAAGCAAAGGCTCGCGGGTTCCCTTGCCAGTCTAGGGTACATGGGTGGTGGGCCAGGCCCCCCAGTAGGGGGCGCTCGAGAGGTAACCACGCATTGCTGTTTCTCTCCCTCCCTTCCCCTCTCTAAAAATAAATAAATTAAATATTTCAAAAAGAAAAGAAAAGAGAATATACACAGCCCCTCACCAGCCTCAGGCCCACAGGTTCCTTCTGCTTGCTCCCGCATGAAATCGAATATTCCCCCTCAAGTATCTTCCTCTTTCTGGGTGCCCCCACCTCCAAGACAGTCCCACCATCCACTCACGTGCCCCAAACCACCCGCACCACTTCCGTCATGTCCACGGCCAGCTGGTTACCCCAAGTCTTGTCCTATCTGCCTTGCTCCTCTCTTTGGGGCCTCACAGCTCAGCGGGTCCTGTCCCGGTTCCTCTGCCGCTCCCCAGGGCCACCCAGCCGCTCAGAACCCCCGCCCAGTCACCAGCGAACACACACTCGGAGCTCCAGCCTAGCAGAGACACCTCTGTTTCTGGAACCCGCCTCACGGGAACACTCTTCCTCCTCCACTCAGCCAAGCTAGCTCCAGCCTACTCCTCCGAGAAAGCTTTAGTCATTATTTCATTCATTCAAGGGTTTGGAAGCCGTCCATCGTCCAGCACCATCCCTGGCCCTGTGGATCTTTGAGCAAAAGAGATGTGTGGGCACCCAAACAAGCCGCTTACCCCCAGAACGGACCCTGGTCCTCCCCTGCTCACAAGCTCTCACAGCTCCCTATTGCCCCAGGGCAGAAGCTTAAGCCCTTAACCCTTCACCTTAGAGCCAGAGATCACCCGGGGCCCTGCCAGCAGCCTCCTCTCCTCCCCAAGCTGATTACTCCGACTTCTGCATGCACACGCCTGCTTAGTCCTTGAACCCAAAACAGCTGGGTCTGCAGGACCAGCTCAGAATCCTCCGGCTCTTGAGACCCATCTTTGCCGTCGTCCAGACCTTAAGACACTCAGCCGGCCGTCTTTCTGGTCCGTCCCCCTTCCCTGCAGCCAAGGGACCTTTGAGTCCCAGAGAATGAGGACTCTGCAAATGATCAGCCCAGGAGGGGCATTAGAAGGGGCGGGGCGGGGTCTCATCCGGAGGAGAGGCTGGTTTGCAGAGGCGGTAGCCCTTCCCACCTACTCCATGCAAATCAGGTGGCTGCTCTGGAAAACTAACGGGTCCCCTCTAGCGCAGGACCTCAGCGGGGCTTCCTCCAGCCCCGGGAACACCAGCAGCCTCTCAGCCTCCATCCCCTCAGCCTCCCCACGGAGGCTGGCAGTCCCCGAGGCCAAGTCTGCCGCCCCTCCCCCCTCTCAGACCTCTGGACCTAGCCGGGACAGTCATCAGTATGATGGAAACAACTCCATTTTCCAGATGGGAAAACTGAGGCTCAGACGGTGCTGTGACTCACCCAGAGGTGTGCCTGGCTGGGTTATGGGATGACTCAGAATTGAGTTGGAACCAACTGCCATCCAGGATATGTGCTGAAAAACATTTCATAACCAGCTCTCATATGTCAAGGCCATTGTCACTTCTTGTGCTATAAATATTCCCACCACGCCCATTTCAAGCTACAAATCACCCGACGTCGAGCTCAGAAAAGACACACACACAGCCCTCGAGAGCCCCTGCGAAAGGCCTGAAGCCCATCACCAGCTCCAGCATTGAACTCCATGGCGGGTCTCGACCGAGAGACGCCCCCTGTCTGAACCTCAGTTTCCAGTCTCAGCCAGTACGATGGCCAGCGCAGAGCGGGTGCCCCAAATGACTGGCTTTGCATCCTCCCAATATGTATCGATCACTCCCTGGGTGCCAGCCACCCATCGAAGCACCTCGCATGTATCGTCTTCATTCCCCCCAACCCCGGGTTGGCTCTGTTTTTATCCGCATTTGACAGATGAGGACACTGAGGCAACAAGAAGTTAAAAAAAAAAATCCAGCGGCGCTCCCCCCAGCTAGTGTGTGCACAAGGTGGGATTCCAACGCAGGCAGCTCGACTGTCCTATAACGAGGCCAAGAAAGGGGGTGGGCATTCCCGCTAGCGCACAGCAGACCCACTCCAAGGAAGACCCGCCCCCACCCTGGTCCCTGTAAGGATACTGGCCACCATGAGGATGGTGCAGAGGCTGCAGAGGACCAAGCGGAGTGGCCTGATCCAAGGGGCCCCGGGCTGGGGCAGGGTCTTTATCCTCCAGGAGAGAAGGAGCTGCAGCCAGAAGTAGACATGGCCCACGAAGAAGGCAAAGAAGGCCCCGGTCAGGTGCGTGGCCTGCTGGTTCTTTTGCTGGAGGGAGGAATGGGGCGAGCTGAGGTCAAGACCTGTGGGGAGGCTGGGGCCATGAGGCGCAGAAGGGCCCCGGACCAGCCCCACGTGCAGTGGCTGACGGCCACCACTCCCCGTGATCGGTTCATTGATTGCCTGTGTTGGCTGTTATCAGCTCCGTGAGGACGGGCATTTAAATCTGGCATTTAAATCTGTTGCTTGCTGCTGGGGCCTCAGTCCCTAACACAGTGCCTGGCACAGAGCAGATGCTCACAAACATTGGCACAAAAAAACTTCCACTCTCGTCCCACGTGTGGAAGAGCAGACAGTGTTGCCAAGGGGATAAAAACTGGTTCTTGGAGGGCAAAAGATTCTTAAGTAACACAATGGTTTGTGGCTTACTGGTATAGTGTGCGTGTTATGGTAATATTTTATTTCATTTTGGTAATATTTTAAAATATTAAACATTTCAGCCCTGGCTGGTGTGGCTCAGTGGATTGGGTGCCAGCCTGCGAACCCAAGAGTCGCCGGTTTGATTCCCAGTCAGGGCACAGGCCTGGGTTGCAGGTCAGGTCCTCTGCAGGGGGTGCGGGAAATGTAACCATGCATTGATGTTTCTCTCCCTTTCTTTCTCCTTCCCTTCCCCTCTCTAAAAATAAATAACTAAAATCTTTTTTCAAAAAATCCTACGAGGTAGACTTCTTAAAAAAATTTAAAAAATTAAAAATAAAAATAAATAAAAATTTCAGTCCTCGTGGGGTGGCTCAGTTGGTTAGAGCGTCATCCCAATTTGCCAAGTTTGCAGGTTCGATGCCCAGTAAAGCACATGCAAGAATCATACAATGAGATCCTTTTGTGGTTTGTAAGTGTGATGATTGGGTGTTTGTGCTTTTGTGTGACATGTGCCTCCCACTAAACCTTGTTAGGACACCGGCACATTACCCGTCTGACGTGGAAAAAAAAAAAAGAATCATACACTGAATGCATAAATAAATGAAAAAAATAAATCGATGTCTCTCTCTCTCTCTCTGCCCTCACCCTTCCTTTCTCTCCCTCTAAAAATCAACAAATTAAATAATTCATTAGTTAAAAATGTCTCCTTCAGGGAGGGATGTCATGAAGAAAAAGAAAGGCTGAGCACAGGGATGGGGAATGAGTGAACGAATGGATATGCAGATGTGGTAGGGATATTTCCCTACAAGTTGGAGGCAGCCTCCAGCCTGAACACCCTCTGCTTTCACTGGCCTCCAAACTTTCACCAGGAAAGGTTTGGAATCAGAGACATCTTTGTAAAATGAAATAACATAAAATAAATCAGGGAAAGTTCTCCTATCATGTGTGCATTCGTTTATTCTGCAAAGATCTGCTGAGCTTTGTGGTTAAGAATGTGGGTTCTCCCGTCTACGAATCTGGGCTCCTATCTGACCATCACGGACCAGCTGCTGAAAACACTTCTATGTGGCATTTGGCTAGGAAGGGCCCACCTAGAGTTCTTGCGCAGATGAGTAAAAATAGGGCAGAATGTAAAACCTAGTGCAAACTCAAACAGTGTAGCAAACGGTAAGAAGGAATGAATATCACTCATTTCATCATTAAAGGGGTGGTGGAGGACAAAGAATTATCCAACTTCCTAATATGCAAGTCTACCAACAGGGATTAAAATGAAAATACATTCCTTCTGGGGGCGAGGGAAAGAACCTCCCACACAGCGCTCTATTCGCAGCCTAAGATATCACCCCGCAACCACACCGGGGGAGAACTGCTAAAAAATACAAGTCCAAAGAGGCTACGCGAGGCCGAGCCTCTGAAACGAGCAGCCCGCGGCCCCGAAGGGTCCTGGGAGTTGTAGTCCCAGACTCTGCCCGGCGGGAACCCCGGGCTGGGCTCCTGCAGTCGACTCTGCCTCACCTGGAAATTGCCCACGACGGAGGTGCCCAGGGCACAGAGGAGCCCCGAACACAGGATCAGCTGGTTAAGCCGCTTTCTGACGCCCCAGATCCGGAGCTGGTAGTAACGGAGAATGCAGATCCAGGCGGCTGCGAGGAGAGGGAAGTGAGCGGGGAGACAGGGGGCGGACCCCGGGTAGGGGAGGGGTGGTGGGGTGGCAGAGCCTGGGGGTCCAGGGGTGGAGGACAAATACAGGACTTAGGGGAGAAGGGGCTGGGGCTGGGACTCCTGGGTCTGAGGGGGGCGCGGCTGGGGCCTCCTTGGCGGGGAGAGCCCAGCCCTGAAGGGGGTAAGGCTGGAGCACAGTTACCCATAGCAGCTCCCATGTTGAGCAGCTGGCTGAAGATGCAGCTCTGAGGGGGGTACGATCCACAGAGACTGGGGAAGACAAGGGACCATCCTGTGGCTCCACAGCGCCAGCACCCCCTTTCCTATCTCCGGAGCCTCCCTCCAAGTGCCATCTCTACCTGATGTACGGGATGCCTTCCGTGAGGTTCACAGACCTGTTGGCCACGGCAATCGCAAAACTAAAGGAGGGGAAGACATCAGGTAAACAGCAGCTTTCAAGACAACTTTTCTTTCTGTTACCCCTAGAAACCGGACTGCTGCCTGCCCTCGGCCCCAGGAGTCCAGGCCCCCAGCCCCTCCACCCTCGGACCCAGGGGTCCCAGCCTCCAGCCCCCCCTCCTTCCGGCCGGCCATCACCCTGCCTGTAACACTCACACTGTCCAGATGCTAGCAGCAGCCCAGAGGGCCAGGAAGACAGGTAGCAGGGACAGGTAGCCCCACATGCCAGGCTCTGCGCAGGAAGGAGAGGGCCACTAATCAATCAATCTCTTTCCCTCTCTGTCAGGTGAGGAAGCGGCCCTAAGGGTCCAGGTGGTCCCATCGTGGCTGCCTGCCTCCGGGACCCCCGGTTGGCTCCCAGGCAGAAGTATGGGCCCACGGCGGGCGCAGAGGCGCCTTTTCAGATGAGGCCGACCCTCGGCCTGGGGCACTTCCCTATCTTTCAAACATCCTTGAACCCTAACCAGCTGCCCTCCCCTCACCCCGCCCGCACCGAGGCTCCCCAAGGATGCTCACCTGCCAGTCTCTAGCTCTCTCAGTCCCAGGCCTGGGGTGCCGAGCTGTGTGAGAGGTTCAGAGGACTGAAATATGGGATGGAGTTTGCGCAGCTGGAATTTTTTTCGAAGAGCCAAAGTCCACCACCGTTGGAACACCTGCAAGCCAGTAAGAACTAAAGCCACAGTCTACCACTTTATAGGGGACCTTGTCCCCAAACTGCCACTTCCTGGTCTGCTCAGGCATCAGGCAGCACCTTTGCTCATAGGTCCCCAACTTCCTTCCTCTCTCACTTTATAGGTCCAACCTGTTAACCCTCAGCGCTTATCCTTCTCTGGAACCCACAAATCAGAGCCTCCGGCTCTCTCCAGCCTTCCTCCTTGGGGGACCCAGGAATCCAGGCCCCCGGGACCTTCTAGGACACAGGCATTCCTTTCTAGCCCCCGGTGTCCCTGTTCCCAGCTCTTACCTCCTGGGGCCCCAGGATACAAACCTGAAGGTCCACCTCCTTTCGGACTGCACTTTCTGTTCAGGCTGCTGAGTGTAGGGCCCCACCTCCCGCGACTCCGCCTCCTCCCGCAACTTGCGGTCCCCTCACCAGCTCTCCCTTCCTCTCTTCTCAGACCTTGTAGGTCTGAGTTGGAGACTGAGTTCCGCAGCCAGCAGGGCGGGTGTGGGTGGGAGGGAGGGAGAACTAACTCAGCGATGACATCTCCATCTGAAAGCCTTCCCGAAAAGCAACTGTTTCCTCCAACACGACCATTTCTGTTTTGGCCCGTGGCAGCCCTCCGCTTTCTGGCTCGCCGCCGCCCTGGGTACCGGGGGATTTTGGCCCCAGCCTCCACCTGCTTCCGCAGGACCGGGGAGCCCAGGCCCCCGAGCCCCTCCTCCCTCGGACTTGGGAGTCCTGGCCCCCAGACAGCGTCTCCTCCCTCAGCACCCACCTGTTTGTTGTTTCTTTTTCTTAATTGAGACAAAATTCACAAAATGTAAAATCAATCATTTAAAAAATATACAATTCGCTGGCATGGAACAACATTCACAATGTTGTGCAGCCACCACTTCTGCCCCGTCCCGGAGCTTTTTCATCTCCCCAGAAGGAAACCTGGTGCCCATTAGACGCTGCCCCTCCCCCAGCCCCTGACCACAACCCAGCTGCCCTCTGTGTCTGTGGCTTTGTCCACTCTGGACATTTCATAGGAGCGGAATCATACGCGCTGTGGCCTTTCGCATCTGGCTCCTCGCACTCAGCATCGTGTTTCCGAGCTTCCTCTGTATTGTGGCTCATGTCAGTGCTCCGTCCCTTTTCATGGCTGAGTACTAGTCCATCGGCCCTCCTCTTTCTGGGACACAGGCGTCTGAGGCCCAGCGTCCCTTCCTCTGTGCTGCAGGATTTCCAGGGCCCCCGCACCCAGGACGTTAGGCTCTTGGCTTCCTTGAGCGTGAAGATGAGGAAACAGAGACACAGAGACAGGCAGGCACCACAGACATTTCTGGAATCAGCCAAGGAGGGACATCTCACCCCTGCCCTCCAGGGGTTCCCAGGCTTGTGGGCAGATGCACCTGGATCCAACAAATAGAATACATGGCGTTCCAGCCAACGTGGCGCGGGGCACGGTGGCGCCCAGAAGAAGTGGCCAGGGTGCGTGTGGATGCAGGGAGAGGTCGGGGAAAGATGTGTGTCGGTTTGCAAGCTGCAAGAAGGCTTTCCAGTAAAGTCCAGGTGGTTCCAGAAACTCAGCCCATGAGGGGCCAGAGCCTTTGCCTGCTGGGTTATGGAGCGTGGGACCCACTAGCAGAACTGAACCAGGACCCAAAGCTCTCAGCCGCCACGAGGAGCTACTGTAACAACGCACCACAAACTTAGTGGCTTAAAACGCCACACGTTAAGCCCTGCTGATGTGGCTCAGTGGGCTGGGCGCCAGCCTGCGGACTGAAAGGTTCCCGGTTCGGTTCCCGGTTAGGGCACATGGCTGGGCTGCGGGCCAGGGAGAGAGGCAACTGGTCGGCGTTTCTCCCGTGCAGACATCTGCCTCTGTCGTCACAATAAGGACCCTGCAATGACATTGGACTCACCCAGACAATAGGGCCTTGACTGAATCACGCCTGTGACGTCTTTAGCCCCGTGAGATGCCACTGTCACAGGCCCCGGAGATCGGGATGTGGACATCTTTTGGGGGACTGGCGTTCTGCCTCCCACAGTCCCCCTGGGTAAGAGGCTTCGGCTCCTTCCATCTTTGAAGACAACACATAGCCCTGGCCTGCGTGACCCAGTCGGAGGGCATCTTCCCGCACACCGAAAGGTCGCTGGTTCAATTCCCCATCAGGGCATAGGCCTGGGTTGTGGGCTCCGCTCATGCCCCAGTCGGGGCATTTGATGTCTCTCTCGAACACTGATGTTCCTCTCCCTCCCTTTCCACTCTCTAAAATAAGTTTTTAAAAAGACAGTGCAAAACGTCGCTGGAGTGGGGGCCAGATTGCCTGGATTTCTAGCTCCACCCCTGCCTCACGCTGGCAGTATGATCTGGGGCAAGAGGCTTGCTCTGTCTGTGCCTCAGTTTCCTCATCTGTGATATGGGGATAAGAGTCTACCTCGGAGGGCCGTAGGGTGGAACTGAGGAGCCGATCCATATAACGGGCTCAGGGCAGTGGCTGACACGTCTGTGTGTTTAAGAAGTAGCTATTGTTGAATTGGCTTTATCTGGGGGTCAAGTTAAAAAAAAAAAAAAGGGATGTGGTCTGCCTTGGATGCTTGCCTGGCACATAGTAATTGCTCAATTCAGGACGTTTTCTTTCCAAGGGGTGTCATTTAGGGGCTGGTGACAGAGCAGGATCAGATCTGGAGTTTGTCTGTGTGGGCGTGTGCACGTGGACTGAAGATCCACTGTGTCCTTGCACTGTTCGAGGGCCCCGGAGACACAGCAGGGAACAGCCAGACAAAAAGTGGCCTGGAGGAGTGAGGCTCTAGCAAGTGCTCCCCCTCCCACCCCACCCCTCCACCCTCCCGTAACCTCCACCGCTCGCCTTGCCCCGCCCCAGCCCCAGATCTTCTCCTCCCTGTCCCCTCCCCTGGAGGGGCTCAGGCCTGGTGGGCCCCGTCCAATTTGCGAGTTGGGCTCCACGCACTGTCCACCCGCAGGCTGGGGGCCTGGACTCTTCTGGGTCCTTCCAGATACCGGAACCACTGGCTTGGCTCAGCCCCAGGGGAAAGGCTGTGGTCTTACTCTGGGCAAGATGAGGTTACAGTTTCATGTTTAGGAAGGCACTTCCGATTAGGGGTGGGGACTGTTTTTCCCAGAGCGAGAGCTGGGATGTGTCAACGCAGGGCATGTTCACATCCAGGGATCTAGGTTTTGCCGTCTGCAAAAGCAAGAATCCGAACATGCCTTGGTTCAAGAGTGAGCCCACGTGACGACTTAACCCCCGTGCCTGGCCCCTAGGAAATGCCATGTGAAGCCAGGCATGGCCATCCTTGGGTCCTGCAGGTGACGCTGAGGATGGCTGAAGAGCCACCTGCAGGCCTGGAGGCTGGGCTAGTTTGGAGATGAGATGCCTGGACTTCCCAGTCTTGCTGTGTCTCGAGGGCCTCCCAGAAGCACACGCGGCGGCCATGGCGTCAGAAATGCAAGGAATTTATTGGGAATGATGCCAGTGAGAGATGAAGGGGAGAGGGACAGGCAGCGAGAGCCTCACGGCTGGGAGGTGCACCCACCACCTGCGAGAGGGGATGAGGAGGGAACACCTGGGTAGGAAGGGCCTCAGCCTGTGTCTCAGCCCTGAGAATGCCCACCCCCGCCCAACGGTCGGATCAAGCAAAGGTTTCCCAGAGATACAAGTCCGTAGAAACAGAAAGTAGGTTGGTGGCTGCCAGGGGCTGGGGTAAGCGGGCTGTGATTGCTTCATCACTTCCTCTGGGGAGGCGAACATATTTTAGAAGTAGACGGGGGTGATGGTGGTTGCAATGTGACTGTGCTTTCGAGGCCCCTAAGCTACACACCTTCAAGGCCTTGGTGTGGTGAATTTCATGTCATGTGAATGTGTTCCCAATTTTATTAAGTTTTAATTTATTGACTTGAGAGAGACAGAGCAAGGGAGAGAAAAAGAGCAAGCGAGAGAGAGACTTGATTTGTTGTTCCACTTATTTATACGCTCATTGGTTGCTTCTCGTACGTGCCCGGACTGGGGCTGAAACCCGCAACCTTGGCAGAGTGGGGACTATGTTCCAACCCACTGAGCTATCTATCCAGGGCTGGTCTCAAATTTTTTTTTTTTTAAATTCTTACCAGAGGATATATTTATTCATTTTAGGGAGAGAGAGGACGTGGGGAGAGAGAGAAGGATTGATTAGTTGCCTCCCATATGCACCCTGACCAGGGATTGAACCAGCGACCTAGGTAGGTGCCCTGACCAGGGATCGAACCCACAATCGTGTGTAGGGGACGATGCTCTAACCAACTGAGCTGGCCAGGGCTGGTCTCAAAGTTTTTTTTAAAGATGGCCTTTGGAGCAGCCCCAGAGTGGGTGGAAATGCGTTAACCCTGCTGCCGCCGCCGCCATGCATAGCCATTGGCTGGGGGCTGACCTCTAACCGGAAAAATAGTAGTTCCAGGACCTACACACCTGGACGCATCGGCCAAATGCACTCTCCCCAGGTGATCAGTTCCTGAGGGGAGTGTCCCCATCACCACCAGGCTTGTCCAATGTCACTCCGTGACTGAATGGAGAAGCTGAGGTCAGGACCTAGGTCTGTATGATTTTATTTATATTTATGTGTTTATTTAAAAAAAAATTTTTACTTACTTTCAGAGGGAGAGGAAGGGAGGGAGAAAGAGAGGGAGAGAAACATCCATGTGTGGTTGCCTCTCATGCACCCCCTACTGGGGCCTGGTTTGCTACCCAGGCCTGTGCCCTGACTGGGAATCGAACCAGTGACCCTTTGGTTTGCAGGCCGGCACCCAATCCGCTGAGCCGCACCAGCCAGGGCAAAATCTGGTATTTTTCAACCTGCCACGCTTCCTTCCCAAATACCCATCTATATGTCCACCCATCCAGCCTTCCACCCCAGTCATCCATTCATCTGGGGACACGTTCTTGCCTTGATTCATTCCATCCATCTCTCCACCCACCCGCCTCTCTATCCAGTCCTCTTTAATTG